GAATTAATTTAAAGTTATCAATATTCGAAATAATTGGAGACATTAATTATGTTATTGTTAATGCTGTCATAAACATATTCGCCAGTTTCTAAATTAGGCCAATTGTCACAACAATGTGTTTAAAATATCTGACTATTAATTTTGTTCTAATTATGTAAGCTGATTTGAATTTTGCTAATAATTTTTGGAAATGTTTCTTATAGATTAACATAGCGCCTTCCTTGGGGAGTGATATGTTCAGCAGTGGACTTGTGAAGGGACTAATGATGATGATAGGAAATATTTCACAACATGATTTTCCGAAAATGCTTCTTAGACAACAAAGTAATGAAGATGATGATGAAGTGATGCAAAAACCAAACCAAAACCATGCTCAGCTTATATAAGAACACGCACTCACGTACACTGATGATGCATATATCAAAAATCATTTGCAAACAACAACATGGTTTTCGATGCATATGTTTACGTGTTCTTACAATAAGTTGAGCATGGTTTTGATCGCAGCACCTCCGTCTATCTTTCTTTGTTGCTCTGAGTACTGCCCTGGAGTATTTTTTTTTTTACAAATCAAAATATTAAAATGAATTTAATAATTCGCAAATGGACAGGCGATAGAATTAATTTCTTGTTTTATTACAAAATTTAACGTGATTTATCCTTCATTAAAATTCAAACTCGACTATGAAAAACCACCATAATCGTAGAAGTAATTTAAAAGTATCAGCGTTAAGGACCGGACACGTTCGTCCAATAAATTGTGACACGAACAATAATTATTGTGTGTACCAGAATAACGCTTTCGCGACCATAACAGGGAGCTTCGTTAATATTTGTAACGTGGACACGTGTGCTGTTTATTCCACACTTTTGGTTATTTTAAATAGGTAGATAAACACTAACGACCTTACTTATTGCTTATAATCGTTAATTATTGCTTACTTCAATTAAGTATTATTTATCGATATACTTGCCTCATTCTATTCACTTAGTGAAGAGCGAGAAAGAGCATCTTATAGCATTTTTTAAATTTATGTCGATTTTTATGTGTAAAACAAACTAAGATCGTTTAAGTATTTTTGACATTCTAATTATTTGAAAACTTAGATTCAGAATGTTTTTTAAGAGTTGTCAAAACAAACATTACTAAAGTAATTGTATTTTATTAGTGTAATGACAACATATTATTATAGTCTTTGTAGATTTTAAAAATTAATTTGCTTAGAACCGCGCCATAAAATAAAATGATGTGTATCTATTACCTGGTTTGAGAAGCATTTGCGAACAATGAAGAGAAAAATTTCGAAGACAAGTTGCCAACACGCATTGGGGCACCGCGGCGTACATTTCCTTGCCCTAAAACCCTCTCAGAAATGAGAATTGGCCTGTACCCAGCAGTGGGACATATATACATTCTAACTTTAAGTATATTAAGAAATAGCAACAGAAATAGGTAAGGGGCTAGTATCTATCCAAACAGACTCATAACCAGAAAAGGTACCCTAGCACTAAATACTAACCTATTACTAAGTATCATACCTGCCAGTATTTGTCGAGTGAAAATTAATACATTACGACCTACATAGTTTAAACTTATTAAAACTAGTTATTTAACTGCGTTCTATTTTAGATATATTTTAATAACGCGTGCATTAACTATCTCGCGTAATCCTTGAGCACACACAATATAAATTCTCGTTTTGTAACTGTCTAAGCAAGTATGTTGTTTTTAGAAATACTTCCACGTACCGGTTTGCAATCTTAAAAGGCATATATAACATTATCTAATTACAAGGCAATACCGATGAAACCGCCTACAGTAGCATATAATTTTATATCGTCATATCACCCACGCGTCCAGACACACTAATCTTCGATCAATTTATTAGTAGATATTATGGTCATATGAACTTGGTTTGGACATGTTATATCGGATTTACCTTTTAAAGGTTTACAGTATTTAAATTTTTTAGACATTCTAAAATATAAGTTACATTTCTCCAAACATATTTATGCCAAACAATGATAAGACTGGAATTCTCATTAAGGTATCCATGTTGTTTTCAAGTTATTCACACTATTCTTTTGTTATAATAGTAAGAAGTATATAAAGGGCAGCTTAGTCACTACGTGAGATATAGGGAGATCTCTTTGAATGTATCATCATTACAGCCTTTCACAAGTCCACTGCTGAACATAGGCCTCCCCCAAGGAATGCCACAAAGCACGGTCCTGAACCACCTGCATCCATCGACTTCCTGCATGTCTCACCAGGTCGTCACTCCATCTAGTGGGGGGTCGCCCTACACTTCGCCTACCGGTACGAGGCTGCCACTCGAGAACCTTTCTTCCCCATCGGTTGTCGGTTCTTCGAGCTGTATGACCGGCCCACTGCCACTTCAGCTTACTAATCCGTTGGGCTATGTCGGTTACTCTGGTTCTACTGCGGATATCCTCATTTGATTGTATACATGTGCATAATCAAAGAGAGGTCTATGCTCTATGCTCGGAATTACACTGTGTAGTAGAATTCCTAACGGAGATAATAACATGTGGCGGTGTGGTTAATACGTGGTAGAGCCAAGTTACCATAAGACATTTTTCGTTCAGGATAGCAGCGTAAAGCTGCTGTGTTTTGTATATTGAGTGACGATAACCGGAGACCTCTTTATTAGAACGAGAATATAGAAATATATTAATAGTCTTCATAATTAGTCTTCATAAGTGACATTGCATCTTGATTTTTTAACAAGGAATATTATTTTTCATTTGCCATTTTTCATGAGATAAACCGTGAGCTCATTTGTCCCCACTTCTATAACTATAAACTCACTTCTATTAAAACTCACTCACGTCACTTCTATAAAAAAAAGATATTAGCAGCAGTAGTACTAGGGTAATTGATATGGACTAATGGATGAGTAATTTAAATCAGCAAATGTGCCAGCCATATACCCCAGAGAACTATAGTCTACAACCGATTGGGAAGAAAGGTTTTTGAGTGGCAGCCTCTTAAGTTGCGGAGTGTAGAGCCGCCTCCCACTAAATGTAATGTCGACCTGGAAGTCATGGACAAGAGTGGCTGCGGATGATGTATTGTAGCAGTCTTTGGGAAAGTCAGTTGATAGACTGTAATGATTATAATGATACGAAAAACGCTAGTTCGTATAAAAAATCGTAATTTGTAATAAGTATTTTTTCGAAATATTTAATATTATAAGCTTAACTTTGTACACAAGTTCGAGATAATATGAAATACAATTCGCTTATTTAATAAGTGGACGTATTAAACATCTATTGTTCAAGTTATTAATCAAAGTTTAATGGTTTTAGTAAATAATTCCGATGCAACCTTCATTAAATAAATATTGTTTTTGTGACCAAGGAAATTAAGTATCACAAATTGTTAATCACACGTCGTATTTTATTCCCGCCATTTTGTGAGTAGGCGTGTGGTTTCTTAGTAACTTTTATCACTGTTCAAAGAAATAAAAAAACAATTTGGTTAATTGAGCTAAATTAATTCAGCTATCCTTTTATGTCATAATATGTATATGCGTATCTTGGCAGCTTGAAATGTTATCCTTTGATTTTATAATAGTCAAGTGTCAAATATACCACTGATATCTAACAAATGGCCTAGCAGCGTGATTATTTTCAAAATTTCAAACTACCCTATCCTTTTGCTGTGATGACTTTTCATGCGAAAACCCAAAAAGGCGTAAGCGTCAGTTTTGTTCAAAAACCTGTGACTTTCTCATTCTACCATGTTTACGATACATCGAGTTCTATAATTGAGCGATGCGGGAGAGTTCAACACATCGCGGTCCATCTTTTTAGAATACGACATAAATAACATTCTATATTTGTAATTTTATACTCTTACGTTAAGAGCACAGCATATTTGTTGTTGAACATTCAAGCAACTTAAAACCCTAATTCTTTTATGTAAGATATATTCTTGGATGTTTTCTCAGATAACATAAGGTGCTTTGTCTTAAAATTTAGATTATAGATCGTAAGGTGGTACGGTTATGCGGCAGCCATGCCGATGACCACATGCATCAATGTTTGTAAATAGAACGCTGAATTTCACTAAGCCTCTTTGATGTTTCACGCCTTACGCTCTTTGCGGTCCATTGATGCTTTGCTCTAAATGCGAAGCTAGGTTTTAACAAAATCATCAATGTATATTGAGAATTAATAAAAACGACTTACAGGTTAAATTTCATAGTACAAGTTGGAGTTGGCTTTGACATCTTTGTGCCTTCTAAAAGATGCTTTAGATGCTATGCATCTTTTGTAACAATGTTTACAAACAACTCCTTGTGCTATGTCCACCTTATATTTATCGTTAAATAATTAACATAATTAAAACCTTAAATAAATTAATATACTCTATCGTGTTTTAGTTGGAATTCAGAGAAAAATTAGCTTGTCCGTGTGAAAGTACTGCGCTGGGAGAAATCTAACAAAGTTATTTGCTTGTTCCATTACCCAGCTGGTTTGGGAAGTGAAAAATCATTCTTATCTCGACACAAACACAAGGGAGCGCTGGTCCGCGTTAGCCATCTGTTCGTTGCACCCATAAAGATAACGAAAATGAACAAACGGGAACGTTTTCATTTAGTATCGGGCCCTTGGTGCGAACGCTCCTATTTGATTTATTGCCCGCGAAAAACGAGCGGCCATTTTGCATATTTGTACGATGTGTTCCATTTTCGAGCGCACGGTGCGTACGGCTTACGCTGTTTGATATTCTCTTTTTGAGATGTGGTTTATTTTTGATCGCGTTGTCCTATTTAATCCGTTATGTGTGGCTGGCGCTTCCATCAGTCTTAGTGGCAACCGTTGCTTTTGACGTCGCGTTTTCACTCACAATTTATATAGCAAAATGTTTAAATATATACTTAGTAAAATTAAAAAGGTGTTACCCGTTGTTATAAAAAAAATTAAGCTGTTTTTTGTATGATGTTTTATTTTCTTTTTATTTGTTTCAGATATATCCAGATCCCGAGTCTGAAAAGGCAATAATGGGCTCAGTGGTATACTGCATTCACCACAAAGAAGGATGCCAGTGGTCGGACGAACTACGTAAACTGAAGGTGAGTTACTGTGAAATTTAAATATTTGTACAGATAAGGTGAAGTGCGTAGATCGAAAAGAGGACGGTCAATCGATCATCGTGCATGACTACTAAAAGACATTTGACACATTTCTTTATCTACATTAGTTTAGATAGTGGCGCGTGTATTTACTAATAGATTGATATCTAGATTTTTAAAAAATCAGGTACATAGACACAACAAAAAAAAAATACATCACCATCATCATCATTTTTAAAGGCTATAGCTGTATCTTCATCAAGAATGCCACTTAAAAAAAAAAAATGCCACTTATCAAGTAGGTATTCATACTTTTGTTATTATTTTACTTAGGTTAGTTAGTGTTTACTTATCTTATTTTTTAAGTTATTACTGAATAGTGTAGAGTTAGTTATAACTACAAATTTTTTTAGGTTTCGTTTTTAGTTACCAGTCAAGTGGTTCTCGCGTGTCGCGTTTCCATTTTAACGTACTTTTTAATTAGGGCAACATTGTTGACGGAAGAGAAGCTTCTGTTGAAGCCGCTAATAAAAAGTTGACTTAGGTATTTTAAAATAGAAATATTAACATTATTATGTAACCCTTTAACCCTTTTAAGCTTTTAAGCTAAGCACTGTCATTAATTATATAAATACATTTAATATTTAGTAATCGAACATGGTTAACTTAATGAATTCTGTTTAGCTTTGTTGTTAACCCAAAAAAAGATCGTATCTTAGTTCTTATGAGTTTGTTTTTAGAATAAATACATAATAAATTATGTTCCAAGAATTATTATAAAAATTCAGGTAACTTAAAACACGACGCATCTTTACCTTATTATTATTATTATATTCACACGGGAAACGTATTAAAAATAGTTTTATTTTATAGAAGTAAGGGTAACAAACGGGCACAGGGTCCATCTGATGGTAAGTGGATGCTGTGTAGTCCATAAATGCATATATCTATTATCGATATAACCCTACCTAAAATTTCGGTACCTCAAAAATGGTGTACATGCCTAATTACCAGTAAAAATAATGCCATTCTGCGAGAGCGTGGTCTTTCCTCGTTCGAACCGAGCTATTTGGGTTTCAGTTAATATCCAACAGTAGTACTTACTATAATAAATATATATTGTCTATTATCGATTCGGAAGCCGGTTCGAAAACCGTATTTTTCCGGTTTAAAAGACACGGTAGGCCACTTTCAGTACAGACTGTGAGACTTTCGAAAGTACTGAATTGACACTGGCAGAATTCTGGAAAGAGATTTAAAAGATACAATTTAAAAGAAAAAGAAGACTTTCGAAGGTGTTTGAAGTTAGTTGCAGGTATTTGGTGTGCGGAAACAACTTACCTGTGCTATGGAATATCTTAAAGCTCATAATCATACTGGCTCTCAATATCCTTAAGACTGGAACATTACAGTGCACGTACTGCTGCTTGCTGGCAGAAAGAGGTAAGAGGGTAGTAGTAGTAGGTACCTAGCCAACGGATTCTTAGGCAGAAAAGAGAGTCATACCATACCAGTCCAGAGTCAACTCACCCAAAAAAGCAACTATTTCTGTTACACCAAAAGATGCATTTTATTCGTGGTAGAGCCATGCTGCAGCTATATTATGGTTGTAGCACGAATGTGTCTGGACCGGGGTAGGAACACACTCTCACAGACCAACGTATTTCATGAAATAGCAGCTTAATGCTATTGTGTTTCGTATGGTGTCTGTCCGAAGACCCTTTTTACTGGAAACGAAGCATTTCATCGTAGTGACAACGCATATCTGCATTTTGAATTTTAAGTGAAGATAAATGCAGATGTCTATGGGCCACAGCACCCTGATTCTATAAAAAATGCAAGTAAAAGATAGCGCATGGCTATTATAAATTTAATTCTTTAATCGCACAAATTATTTCCAGGCTCACCTGAACACGTGCAAGCACGACGCGGTACTCTGCGCGGCACAATGCGGCGCCATGATACCTCGCGTGCTGATGCAGGACCACCTTCGGTACACCTGTCCCCGGCGCAGGGCCAATTGCGAGCACTGTGGAAAGGAGTTCTCGGGGAGTGCGCTTGAAGTAAGTGTTAAAACTTTGAGGACCTTCGTAAATGAGAGAAAGGTCAGAAGGTCAGAAACTGACAAACTTTAAAAAAATTAGAAGTTTTAAATTTTTTTATCCGTTAATGGCCTCAGAAATTGGCTGATTTAGATTTGAAATAGCGATGTTAATAATAGATTATTATCCGAATCCTTCAAATTCAAGACTGTAAATTGAAAACACATTACCTGCTTACTTACTGCATATCCATGGACTAAGTATTTTGATCCAGATTTGTATTTATAGTTTCAAAGAATTTTAATAAATAATTAATAATCGATTTTCAACATCTCTTTTTGTTGTTTAAAGTGTTGTATAATAAAGTATAAAAGTATATCATGATCATGATTACATCCCATCACAACGTCACTGCTGAATGTAGCCCTTCTTTATAAAATGCTACAAAGCAAGATCCTGCACAACCTCTACTACCCATCTACTCTGTACGGATTATCAATGATCTACTCCATCCATATTTCATCAGTCCGTAACACCGGCAGTCCGCCCTACACTTCGCTATCGGTACGAGACAGTCTCTCGAGATCTATTATCTTCCCCATCGTTGTCACTTGTCAGTTCTTTGAGCTATATGACCGGCCCATTACCACTTTAACTTACTGATCTGCTGGGCTATGTAAAAATTACTCACGATCTTTTGCGGATATCGTCGTTACACATTTACAAATGTTTTATTAATGGCAATATTTCGAATTGCAGGAACATCAGGGCAACTGCGGCCACGAGCCAGTATACTGCGAGAACAAGTGCGGTGCAAAAGTGCAGCGTCGGCACACGCAACAACACATACAACAGCACTGCAGCAAACGGCTCGTGCCCTGCAGACACTGCGGACAGAAGTACACACAGGTAAAGAGACGAATGTTTTGACACAATTCATGGCTACGTAATAATTAGAAATAACAACCTAATACGCCGAATATATCTTGACAGAGATTTCGTGCAGAAGAAAAGAAATGAATATTAATGCTCGTTTTCTACCATTACTCCTAAGATGAAACTTGTTAAGACCATTGCAGTATCTCTTGACGTCAGTTACGTTTTAACTTATACATCGGATATCGACCAATTAACTAACACTTATAACTGGCCCTGTCTTCTTACTATCTCTCTTCGAACTCTACTGTTGGACTCAGCAAAGAGCCTCCTGGCTAAATGACTATCCGACACAGAGATCCATTTAGATATATATGTGGTCTCTTAATTTTAGAAATGGACTGGCTTGAATCTTCCTAAGCTTCATGGCATTTAGTGTAAATATGGTGTAGGCGTAATTGGTTGAAACAGGCAAATTTTCTTAGTACTTTGATTAAATCTAGGCCAGACTGACTTCAAAAATATTCGTTATATTCATGCTAAGAAAAAGAATTTATGTACAAGTTCTTATTTTGGTACCTGACGATTTTGACGATTACGTTTTTGTGATGTCTCCCTTCCCTTAATATTGAATTATTGGTTACTCAATATCTCTTATCGGATAGTGCAAAATAGAAGAAAACTTCCGTTAAAATATTTTCTTAGGGTTACGAAGAGTTAAAGCAGATTTAACTGATTTTTTTTTTATCACTTCCACTTTATATCGCTCACAACAGTTTATGGCTAGTATTGACATTTTATTTCTGTTTTAAATTCGTTGTTTATTCGATGGCCACATTGAACAGGAACCGCCCGAGGTTTACGTTATCCGGAAACGTCGTCTATAAATCAAATTGTACTGTTTTTCGATAGTGTACTTTCACAATAGCGACTGAAAGAGATAAAGAATTTTCTGTAGCATAAAGGAGTGCATAATATATGATTGTTTAATACAATGAGTTAAATAAGCTCATGAGCTTTTGTGTTTGTCATGTGTGTTTGTTAGAAGCAGTGAAGTTATGTTAGGTTAAAGCAAGTGTTGTTGGGTGCGTGTGTGTGTACGTGTGCGTTTGCAAGTGCGTGTGTGTGCGCGCGCGTGTGTGTGTGCGTGTGCGAAGCTATGTTAGACGAATGTCTGGCATTGTATATATATGATCGTGTGGTTGTGTTGCAGGACTGCGTGTCGGCGCACGGCGCGTCGTGCAGCCGCGCGCCGGTGCCGTGCCCGCAGCGCGGCGCGGGCTGCGCGGCGCTGCCGGCGCGCGACGAGCTGGACGCGCACCTGCGCGACCACTGCGCCGCCGCGCTGCCCTGCCCCTACCGCGACGCCGGCTGCCGCTTCAAGGTACCACCCCAAACCACACCTTACACCCCGCACTCCTTCTTGCATCCTTTTCTCTTCTTTATCCGCTAGTCATGCAAAATAATATGAGACTTAAGTTTTTTTTAGAATGAAGGTGACAAACGAACACAATCCACCTGATAGTTCTCAATATTCCATTAAGAAGGGTCTCCGATTCTCTATACACAACATACGAAAGATAGCAACGTTAAACTGCTATTTTATACCGTTACAGCCTATTAAAGTCCACTGCTGAACATAGGTGTCTCCCGTAAATTACCTCATAGGGAGGATATTTGTTATAATTGCCATATTTCATAGTTATCAAGCTTAGCAAGCGCAATTTTTATTTATAGTCGTTATTATGTATAGGAATACGCTGCTATCAATGTCGTAATTTATTTCCCTCTGTGGCCTCTTACGACACGTATGGTAGTAGATATTCCTATACCACCGCCACACAACCTAACCCCACGGCACACCTACGGTTAAAGTTAAACTTAAAGTTACAGCCTATCAGCCATTTCTGAGAGGATTTTAAGCCAAAAAACTGTCTGCCACGCTGCCTCAATGCGTGTTGTGTGAAAAAAAAGAACAGTTTACAATCATATATAATACCTACTTACCTCATACTTTACCTTATATAATCCTGACATTATTAACAAACGTGAAAAAAAAATCAAAATATTGGTTTTGTTTTTATCAAAATATTGGTTTAGTAACGTTGCACACTGTGGCAGGGCACGCGTGCGGCGGTGGAGCGGCACGCGGAGGAGAGCTGCCAGCAGCACGTGTCGCTGCTGGCGGCGGTGGCCGGCCGCCAGGCGCGCCAGCTGGACGCGCTGCGAGCGGCCGTCGCGCGCCTCGCCGTCAACTGCTCCGGCGCGCTCGTGTGGCGCGTCACCGACTGGGCCGCCAAGATGGCGGAGGCCAAGTGCAAGGACGGTGTCGAACTGCTCTCGCCCACCTTCTACACCAGTCAGTACGGGTACAAGTTGCAGGTGTGTTATCTTTTATATTTCCGTCATTTTTTGTTACGGCCTATCGAAAGTCTACATAACATAAGCATATCTCATAGGCATTTACTATGAATACCACGCTTGGTAGGCGGGTCGCCAACCGCAACTTTTCTTTTGAGTAGTTATCACGCGCGCGCACACTACCTACCTAATTATTGTAGGACATGCTGTATAAGCGCATCGCGGTAAACTAGCGAAACATGTTTGTCGTTGTGTTAGCGACAATGATGAATATTGTAAGCATGTGTGTGTACGGTAAAATATGTGTAAGTATTTATTACGCGTGCAGTTAAAGAATGGGATTGAAAATGGCGTCGCCTCTATTCACCTCTCGCTCGCACACTGTGGCTATCTATACTCACACCCGCCGGAAAAGACTGCAAAAAATACGTTGCGATATGCGTTCTATAACTTTAGTCCAACTTGTCATTAGAATCAATAAAATGCCACAAAATACAGAAAAAAAAACAATCTGTCATTCAGTATTGTTAATAATATTTTTGTATTAAATAACTACATGCCATTGAGACATGAGTAACGTTTGTCTGTCCGACCGAGCTAATCTTCGGAATGGCTGAACTAATTGTAATAAAACTTCACAAACAAATAGAGTAATACCAGGAGTGATCTAGACTAAATTTTATCCGAAAAATTTAGAGATTTTATTAAAATAGAAATATTGATAAAATAAATAGTCTTAATTTTAAGGCGAAGCCAGAGCGGGTCGCTAGTTATGTTATTTTAAAATTAATGTAGGTACATTAATTGGGTATACAATTATTGTAAAATAAATATTTTTCCATTAATAGAAAATTGCCATTTAACCGAATAATATAACGAAATGCCCTTAGTAGCGGTACTGGATTTACGTTATTGATACTATGCAATTGACGGTACGGGGTACTGGCTCGATGAGGCGCCATTTCTAATCCCATTCTTTATCTGTGCCACTGCCATAGTAATAACTATGTCTGAGCGGACTGTAGTTGTTATTATCCTTAATTTTACCAATTTTACGATGGTAGTTATTAAAAATAATATATTTATGCGTATAGATTTTATACGTGGTAGAGCCATGCTGCAGCTATGTATCTAGTACAGTTGTAGCACGAATGGGTCGGCTCGACCGGGGAAGGACCACGCTCTCACAGAATATCAGCGTAAAATAGCAGTATATCGCTGCTGTGTTTCGTATAGTCAGTGTAGAGAACCGGAGACCCTTTTACTGGAAACGAGGCATTCCATCTTAGTCCTCACGGGTGACAACACATCTGCATTTTGATTCGTAATCGAAGATAGATGTAGATGTCTTTGGGCCATACCAACCACTTACCATTAGGTGGATTATGTGCTCGCCTGTCACCCCTATCCTATAAAAAAGACGTCTCTCTGCCAGCACCAATACAAACGGTTTTGCGGTTGAATGGTGCTGTATACTAACTATTTACTCTTGTAATATGTTTTATGTATCTCAAACAGAAAAATCAAAAAGATGTTGCTGCCCCGACACCCATAGGATGATAATGGGGCAGTGGATTCTCATTCACGGCGATCATCTGTTTATTTGTTAACTTTTAGGTAGTGCGAATGGGTCGACTCGATCAGAAAGACCACTTTCGTGCAGAATTCCAGAGAAAAAATAAAACAACATAATACTCCTTGCTGATTTTCGAAAAATCAAATTTTGTATTCCCTAGAGTCCTATTCTACTGTATTCAAAAGGTTGTCTGTTTGTGCTAATATGCGTGTATTTCTGTGTGTGTGTAACTCATATGTTAGACAACATTATCTATCGTCTAGCATAATATATTTCTGGAGCAAAACATGATATTGATTAAAATTGGTTTGGAAGACTGAATAAAATTGGTTAAAAGTATCGACATAATGATCTATACTCCAAAAATATAACCATATTAAGCGAAAGGTCTTTTGTTAGTAAACAAAGCCAACCCAAATCATTTGTTTCGTTTTTGTTGCATGATCTACATCGAGTGACTAAATCGCACGAGTGCGGCCCGATTTAGCACGGCTTAGTCACATTATGAATCTATTTGTGATTTCGAGAGGATATTTTATTTATGTGCCTTTACTTTACATCGCTTACGATGTCACGAGTTACTCATAAAGGATTATTTATATTTTAATAGAAGTAGATTTACAAACGAACCGAATGTGAATTGTAAGTAAATGGTGTGGCCCATAGTAACCTTGAGCTATCAGCGATTAAGAATTTTAAAAAAAGTAGCGTATCCCTGAGGACCAAAACGGAATGGCTCTACCAGTAAAAAGGATGTCCGGTTCTCGACCCCCACTAATATAAACACACCACAGGGCGGCCTCCCACTGGATGGAGTGACGACCTGGTGAGATATGCATGAAGTCTATGGATGCAGGTAGCCTGGACCGTGCTTTGTGACATTACATGGTGCCGCAAAGCACGGCACAGGGAGAAGGCTTATTATTCAGCAGTGGACTTGTGAAACGATGTAATGATGATGATTGATGATGATAATAATATATGTATAGTAAATTAATTAATATTGCATTTTTATTACTTACTAATTACGCAAACGTTTTTGAATTCTACGAATGCATTTTACCTACCTACCTAGCACTAGCTAATTAGTTAACGACCAGTTTCGTAGCTGTTTTTTTTTTCGCCAATTTTACAGAAAGATTAAAACCTCATGCGGCCCAGACGGTGTACAATAATGTGTCGTTTTCTTTTCAGGCGTCACTATTTCTAAACGGAAACGGTGCGGGCGAATCCACCCACATGTCGGTCTACATAAAGATCCTGCCAGGAGAATACGACGCGCTACTCCGCTGGCCATTCGCCCACTCCGTCTCCTTCACACTCTTCGACCAAAGCTCGAGTCCGGACCGTGCCTGCAATATCGTGGAGAGTTTCGTCCCGGACCCGACCTGGAAGAACTTCCAGAGACCCTCAAAGGAACCGGACGCGTTGGGCTTCGGTTTCCCGAGGTTTGTCTCCCACGAAATGCTCAAGAAGCGCAACTTCGTCAAGGACGACGTCATGTTTCTTAGGGTCAAGGTGGACCCTAGTAAAATTGTAGCGGTATAAGTTTTTAGTTTAAGATTGGACAATTTTGTTGAAGAGAAACTTTTGAAAGTGAGGTCATTCATCGACGCACAAGAGTTGTAGTCATCGTTATTTAGTGTTAGATAATTTAAAAGTCATAGAATAAGTCTTACGTTTAATATATATTTAAGGGTTGTCTTGTCTAAGATTCTATTTTTGTACGCTCAAATAAATAATTCAGTACCAGAAATTTCTAACTCTTATATTTGGACGACCTGTAGGTATATCATTTATTTAAATATAAAACTGTAAATAGTTATTATTTAAGAGCGGTTACGCTACATCGTTATCCTTTCACTGAAGATCTCTTGAGTTTCATTGCCGTTGGAAGAACGTAACAAATCGAGCGATGTTTCAAAGCAATTCCTTCTTTAACCCCAATCAATCAATCCGAATCAATAACTAATTTCCGCAGCAAATCAATTTAAAATCTAGCTTATTAGTATCGTGCCATATTTTTATAAGGTTTTAGAAAATCCGAGATAAAGCACACATTTTTATAGAATACTGCAAAAACTGTGTGTTGTCCGCGCTAAAGTTCAAAAGCGTTTTTGTTGGCCTTAAGAAGAAAAGGCGATTTATAAAATGCATGGACCTAGACAACTTTGCGTTTGAGACATGTTTGGCTTTGTTATATCGGCAGATCTTTGTATATATTTTCTAATTTACATAATAATTTATACAACTTTTGTTTTCGGTTGTTGTACATACGAACAAATTGTCAAAGAACGTTTATATGTATATAGCAAAGACGTTACTTTGGAACAAAATAATGTCTGATTTTTCTGTGTGTTACAAAGCTGGAATTAGACCAAAGTTTTGCGATAACTTTGCATTAAAGCAATGGAAGGGATTTTATACAAATCTCGGCAAAGTTATCTAAATATAAAAAAAAGTTATACGCGGCTAAAGCTGACTGTTGATATATACTTTTATATTATTTGTAAATATATATTTAAGCGCTTACCTTTGATGTCTCCATACACAAATACAATTTCCTTGTAAATATTAATTTACTAATCGTTAAAATCATTTTGTATCAAAATTAATAAAAGTACTGTTAACGCTTCTTTAACTGGGCGGGAAAATGATTACAGATTAAAAAAACACAAATGCGAGGTTATAAAAGTTGACTCTACAATCACGCTAACAGTAAATTAAAAAAAAATAAACACCATGACAATCACGTGACTTAAGTGTGAGATAAGTCATTTCCATTCATTTATATAGTTTCTTATTAGCGTTAAAGATTGTAGAAAATCAACTAGGCTAATCCCAATGTCTTAGATTTTTATGAACACAGAATGGTCGCACAATATGTTTAGTATAAGGTTGTAATGCCGCCTTTTACGAATAATGATAGGTTTTTGCACATACCATTACCAACTTACTCTTTGTTACTTTTCATTCCTGTTGCTTCTTTAATAGAACATTTTTAGTAACACTGATTGGACAATTTGGATCTCTCGAAAACGCTTGTATATAATCTCATATGTAATGTTACATTCCAGAAGAAAAAAAAAACATTGTATTAAGCTCCGTATCAAATAGTTTATTTCATTGAGTTATATGTACTATGTACTAGAGAAGCCATTCCGAACATTGACTGTGTTCAACTGAACTGTAGTGCAATCCATACAAACTAAATATTGCGTAAATTGAAGATTTGTGAATTCCATAAAATAATAATTATTACATTTTATTTAGAAATATGTTTCTTTAGATTAAATTAAGATATTTTATATTAACTTCTTATATTTATTTTATATTAATATCTTATTTTATATTAAAAAGTCTTCGCGCATGCGCGACTACTACTCCCGCGTATGCGCGAAGAGACATAGAGTAGGACACAATTTTTGTTTGGAATGGCTTCTCTAGTACGTAGTACATATAACTCAATGATTTATTTATGTAATGTCACGAGTGTAAAATGATACTATGTAAGTTTTAAAGTATATGTACTCTTAAATATTGATAAAACACTGCCGAAATAAAACATTACTTCAAACTTGGTCTTGCGGTGACATAAATGGCTGTAGTAATTTTTTTGTTGTAATATAGTGATTTTTAGACTGAATTCAAAACAATCAGCGGTTACCTCGTGAACATATATATATTAGTCTTTAGCTGGAAATTGATAACGGGACTAAAATGTCATTTGCTTACATGGATTTATTGTATGTGAACGAACAGCCGTTTTAAAAAGTCACTTTGCTTAGTAATGCGCTTAGCATTTTTAGTTCCGTTATTCCTTCTCTGTGTACTGCCGTTATAACGTTAATGTTATAATATAGCAATATGAATGTATCGTTATAGCGGATAGCGTAGCTAAGTATTATTAAAACTTTTATTTTAGTACCTTGTCTATAACAGATATAAGACTAATAACAAATAGGGTAAGTAAGATTAAAATTAGTTGATTAAGCTTTTGTATTTTAGGTGGTAAGAAAGATGATTTAGTATTTTAAGATGGAAAAATATATTTTTTTTTCACGTATATTTTATCTTTTCATTCGTTTCGACCTCTAATTTAAACCATTCAAACATTAAATAAACTATAACTAACATAAGAATAACCCTCTGCTTTCAGCTTAAATTTTATATAATGAGTTAGAGCGTATTCTTATCAATTAAATTATACTATCTCATGTAAATACATTGACCATACTTGAAAGTCACAGACTACTTTTTTATATAGGGAAACTGAAAGTAAAGCACTCCTGGGCAGTGGGCACTCATAAATTAATATTTTAATTTCGAATGTTGTTTAAAAAAAATGTAACATTTCGTCTATGGGATGCAATATATTCTGGCGGGAAATTGCCTATCAATCATAATCAATGTGAATGAATACCTAGTACCTACTTTTTTACTGATCTGAGTCAGTCTGAGATTAAAGTTCGCTTTTTGGACTGAAAATGGATTTAACCGCAATTGTGAAGAGATTCGTCAAATTTGTTATGTGGCAGAGACAAAAACTCTTTTAAAAATAAATTTATTTAATACTTTTGAACTAACTTAAAATATAGTAGGTGATACAGAGAACTTGGTAATGGAATTGTATTGAGGGATTTTTTTTGCGCCCAGAAGCAATTTGAAAAGGGCTACCCTGTTACGTGAGGAGGTGGTTAAATGATTTATGCATACCACGACAGTCGGTTTGTCGTGGTTATGTGGGACTCACTGTGCCTAACTAACCTAATTCTAAGTGTTACCCACTAAAAACCAACTGTGGGACTGGCAATTGGCTGATTAAGCCTCTTTGCCGGATCGGAAGCGAACCTCTTTTGGGAGAAGGGGGTGCAGGCGGCTACGGGCCGCTGAGGGGGAGCCTAATAAGGCAAATTTACGAAGAGTCGGCCTGAGCCGCCGGGAGGCAGTTCTGGCAAGACGTATACTGCCCTTATAATTAAATTAAATTAACTTATAACGAACATAAAAGATTATGATGCTCTGTAAGAGCAAGGAGACGGTCCTGAGGGGACTGAGCAGCGCGCAATTTGCGTGCTAAAACAGCAATCTCCCCAATGTTGATGTTCCTAATAGCGAAGTACACCGTATTTAGGTCATTGAGGGTTGTGTTTGCTGAGTGGCGGAGAACGTCCGCGGAGGGTCGGCCATTTTAGGGCCCCAGGGAAAGACTGGAGGCTGCAAAGGCTGGGAGAAGCCCGGAGGAGGGCGAAGAAGAGGGGGAGGACCCCGGGGGGACCCAGAGAGGGTCGAAAGTATCCCTGAGGGGTCTGGGAAAAGCCATGACAGGGCATTCTTGACGGGAGGGCCAGGAATGACCTAGCATTGACCGGCGGTGGAGCTAGTTTGTTGGGACGACTGAGAGGAGCGCAGGGGCAACCTCTGTAGTTCGCCGGGTGGCCAGTCTGCTGGCATAGAACGCACGCAGGTGGGGATTCGGCGTTTTGGGGCCGGGGACACTCTCTCGAGCTGTGTGGGTCTAGGCACTTATCGCACCTGGGAGGGGCAGGAGCAGTTGGCCGCCGCATGCCCATAAAGTTGGCAGCGGTGGCACTGCGTCGGGAACTCGCGCCTGTGTGGGAGCTCAACCCTCACTCTCGACAGGCCGCACACTGTGTGTACTTGCCGGAAGATGGCTGAGGCCTTCGGCACGTTGGTGAGGATCACAAGGGCAAGCGGGAACCTCTTGCCTTTGTTGCTGTGCATTTTGTGCACGGCCTCAACAGGGAATCCTTGGGACTTAAAGTCCTCAAGGATGTCCTCGTTGGAGAGTTCGTAGGGGACACCGCGGATCACGGCCCTCACCTTACGCTCTTCCGGAAGAGCGTACGTATGATAAGAGACTAGCTCGGCTGTGAATAGCCTGGTGAGACGACGAAACTCGTCGATAGATTGGGGGATGATTTTAATAGCCTCCCCGAGGTTGGTGGCTTGTTCGTATTTTATATCTGCGTCGTAGCAGGTTTTGGAGAGGCGGGTGAATTGAGTCTTGTCTCTTAGGAAGACAGGGGGCGGAACTTGCTTCTTAGCCGGGGTAGGAGCGCAGCGGGAGGCTGGCTTGGACGGCGGGGGATCTTTTCACACCGCTTGCGCTTTCGTCCCCGTACGTTAGTGCCCTCTCGCTCTCTCGCGCCTCCGCTGTCCTGCTCGCGGTGTACAGCGCCGACGCCGGTGAGTTCTTTTCGCTAACTTCAGTTCTTGCCCCCCTGTCTTCGGGCGGGGAGGTCTGACTGACCACTGCTTACTTGTTATTGTTATTTCTTGTTGATTTTTCTGTTTTATTTTTGTTTTTGTTTTCTGTTATTATTACCGTGTGTATTGTTTCTTGGCTACGTCTCTTGTTCTTTTCAGAACAAGCCCCTGTTCATTTTGAGAACAAGGAGCCGCCCTTACTGTTTCACCTAGAACAACGTCTCCCCTCCTTCCCAACATTAACATGTCTAGAGAAGACCTTATTAAGGCAATCACCGCCAACCCGTCCCGGATGGACCCGTCAGCTCTGGCCTGCT